GATTCAATTCATCTTGGTTTTGCACAAAAATGGAGGCGTTTCTCGTTGAAAATCTCACAGCTTGGATCGCTTCTCTAGATGGCTCGGAAAAGTTGAACTTCCGGGGTTTCGGCTTGAATGCACTATTCACGTTGAGTCGCACCCCGCTACATCTCCCTTTCCTCCGTGCCGCGGTGAGGTTCTGGAACCCGGTGACGCATGTCTTTAGCTTCGGCGGGCAAGAGGTATGTCCAACTTTTGAAGATTTTCAAGTTTTGATGGAGTCTGAATGTTATGAAGAGATCTTGCCCCAATTCCGCTTTGGCCACGCCCAAGCTTTAGGGCAGATGTGTGGACTCATCGCGCATGATGCTCGGTCTCTGATCTGTAATGGGGAACTAGACATCCTTGGTTTGATTCATCGCTTTTCTGACGCCGGTGACCGCAGCAACCATTATTGGCAAGGTTTCCGGCAACACGCCCTTTGCTTGTGCCTGCTGTCTCACTTTCTGCTTTCCCCGGGCTTTGGCGGATATAGCATTCGTCTAATTGAAGTTGCTCAAGGCTTGAAAGAAGGAAAGAGCTGCATCGCCATGACCTTGGCCGAGACGCTGATGGGCTTGGATTCTGTCTATCGCTGGGAGGCGACTAGATTTGCTAGGAGTCCACTGCTGCTGCAGGTAATGTTTCCCACCCAATCTTACATATGTATTTGCTCACATCACTCGGCCCTCAGGCTCGGTTTTTCTCACAAAAACCCTTTTCTCGCTTTTCTCTCAACGTACATCTCTCTATTCTTTATTCTCTCATTTTTCATCCCTTCCCAGGTATGGTTAATGCACAAATTGCAGGTTGTGGGCTCTTGCCCTGCCTACTCAGCTCGAGGCTATTTCTTTCGACAACGCCTAGTCGATGCCCCTGATGAAAGGTGGTGGTTTGACTGGATGTGCAATTTGTCCGCAGATCGCATTGCTTGGCGTTGTCCTTGGCTCAATCTCCCGGCAATGAGCTATAGCATGTCCCGGCTGATCGGGATCCAGTTGATTGGTCTAACCCACTGTGTGTTCTATTTTCCGTTCCGGTTCCTGCGCCAATTCGGTCATGATCAGATTTGCCCACCAGAAGGGATTGAGTACGCGGCTGCTTTCCCGATCCGAGGTGCACAGCTTGCCCGATATGCCACAGCATGGAGGACTAGAGAGCTCCTGGCTCCTGCTCCCACTTTCAATTGCACTTTGTCTGACGAGTGCTTGGACTGGCTAAATGAGGAGGCACAGGTTGGGCCTAGCTTGGCGTCAGAGGCTTCGACCAGCTCTGGGAGGGGGCGCAGGGATACTTGACTTGACTATGCCCCGTATTTATTGCTTTATTAGTACTTTCAAGTTTTCTTTATGAATGTAATAAAAAGAAACTTCGAGTGTATGCAAGAGCAGGGGAACTCCGTTTTGAAATCAATGAAATTGAAGGTTGTGGTACTGAAAATTTTTCGCTTTGGTCCAAAAATGGCCTTAGTTGTAAAGAGATTAATTTGAACAAAGTCAACTTTTATTAAAACTTTTCAAAACCATTTTCGATATGGATTAGAACTGGACACGCCGAAGATCTGTCACTGAGATGCACAACCCCAGATCCCTGCAACTGGAAAGTTGCCCCTAGTTTGAAGAGTACCGCGGCACTGCATGGCAACGGAAAGTTGCCCCTAGTCTGAATAGCGCTGCACCGTCGTGGCAACGGAAAGTTGCCCCTAGTCTGAATAGCACTGTACCGGAGATCGCGATAAATGCTGATGGATAAAGATGACCGAGATGGTCAAAATGGACAAAGCTGATCGGGGAAAAGTTTATGGCTGAACTTCAGGGTGAAGTTGCCTACGTATCCCAAAGATGTAAATCAAGCCTTACGTAGTTCAGGCTCAGGTTCACTCCGGTATTTTCACTCTCCTTTTACGCTCTAAGTTTTGCCAAGGTCGCCCTTTGCGGGTTTTCAACCTTGCGAGCTCAGTTTTTATATTTTCCAATTTTTTGTGCTCTAACTTTTGCCTAGGTCGCCCTTTCGGGTTTTCGACCTAGCGAGCCTTTCAAGGGTAATATTTCTTCAACTTGTCCATATTGATCGGTTGTGAGAACTCCAAGCCATCTAGATCCATCAGAACCACAGCTCCACCTGACCAGATAGCTTTGTTCTTAAAATCGATTAGGTATCCTGATGGGTATGCAGCAAACATCTCTATGTGTGTGAGCACAAAGGGCGGCAAGTTATCCGGTTTGAAAAGCCATGATTGCCATGTCCTTATACAACGACTTCTTCCTATTGGAATGCGTGGGTATCTTAACAAGGACATTTCTATTGCATTGTTTGAGTTGGGAAATTACTTTCAACAGTTATGTTCAAAAACAGTGAGGGTGAATGATTTGGAAAAATTACAAGAGAGCATAGTACTCATACTTTGCAAGCTAGAAAAATTTTTTCCACCTGCATTCTTTGATGTGATGGTTCACTTAGCTATTCACTTGCCTCGCGAAGCCATTCTTGGAGGGCCAGTGCAATATCGATGGATGTACCCTATCGAAAGGTATTTTTATGCTCTTTGATGTGAAATTATATTTTTTTTAATATTATAGTATACCCATATATATGGTTTATATAATAATTTCCTATTATTTGTTGAAGATTACTCGGGATTTTGAAAGGGTATGTAGCAAATCGAGCTCACCCAGAAGGTTCAATTGCAGAAGCTTACATTGTCAAAGAATGCCTAACTTTTTGCTCTATGTATCTTGGGCTAACTCAAAGGGCAGTTGACGTGTCTGAGAATGAAAGAAAAGTGGCTCATTGGTTTATCTTGTATAATAGTCCTGAAATTGATGAATATCTAGAGTATGTTCTCATTTAGTTAAGTTTATGCAAAATGCTTTTCATTATGATCACACTCAAGTACTAATTATTCACATTTGATTTTTCAAGTAGAGAACACAAGAATCAGTTACAAAATGCAAATGTACATGACATTACAAGACAACAACAAGAAGAATTTCCTAAGTGGTTCAAAGAGCGGGTAATATATAAGATACATAGATAATATGTAACCTCTCATCATAAACATAATTCACTGTTCGTAGATTGATATTAACATCATGCATCCTTGTCACATGTTCATGTAGATAAATCAATTACGAGCTGAAGGATCATCGGAAGCAACTGATGAGTTGTGGTCATTAGCTAATGGTCCTAGTCCAATAGTGAATATTTATTCAGGTTGTATTTGTAATGGCATTCGATTCCACACGAAAGAGCGAGACAACCGTCGTAAAAGTCAAAATAGTGGGTTGGTTGTTCAAGGGGATCATCATGGTATGTCAATTGATTTCTATGGTCAGTTGACTAAAGTTTGGGAAATGACATACATGTTCGGGCATCGAGTTGTGTTGTTTCAATGCGAATGGTTTAACACTGGTAGCAACAGAACATTTCGCACTGAAACACATTTGACAACCATTGATGTAAGAAGCCGTTGGTATCAAAATGACCCATTTGTCTTGCCAAGTCAGGTGCAACAAGTTTTTTATGTCAATGATACCAAATTAGGTGAACATTGGAAAGTCGTAGAGCGATTTCAACGTCGAGGAATATGGAATGTGCCGGAGCTTGAGGATGTAGATCTCGATGATAATGAATTGCCTATTCCGAATGATGTGTTCCAGCAGGACGAGACCACTGAAATTGTCCAAATCAGCATTGCAGATTCCATTAGCAACACTTTACGTAGGACTGATATTGCACCTGATATTATTCCAAGTCAAGTGGTTCTGCAATCTAGTACAAGTGTACATGTAGAGGGTCCAAACAGAGATGATTTTATCTGTGATGATAATGATCAACATTCAAATGATCCTAGTGATGATGAAGATGAATTTCATAGTCATAGTAACTCGGACACAGATGATGATATAGAGCCTTGATTGTAATATCCTTTATTTTTTGCATTATCAAGTCATTTTCATTGTAATGCTCTTGATTGTAATGGCATGCACTTGTTAATGAAGACATGTTTAGTTACAACAAGTCTGGAATGTTGTACCTATTGTTTCATTGTGGTCCATTTGGAAACATCAGAATCTGTCTGAATTTGTTTGAAGCTGTGTTTGTTCTACTGTCTCCTCTGTATGCTGTTGCTGAAGTGCTCTATGTTTTTTTTTTCTCTTCTGTTTGGTGATGCTGCTGAATCTGTCTGAATCTGTTTATTAATCTGAATCTGCTGAATCTGTTTTGAATCTGCTGGTGTAATGCTGAAATGCGGTTGCTGCTTGAATCTGTTTTTTATGCTTCCTGCTGGTTTCTCCTCTGTTTTCCTGTTGGTTTTCTTCTTGTTGTTTTCTCACCAACGGTTATATTACTAGCGGATGTTTGGGCTAGCTCATTGGCGCCAAGTTTGTTTGGTTTTAATAGCTATGCACCTGATGTATTTGTGTTCATTATATATAATCTTATTTTGTTTGTTGATAAAAAAAATGAAGACATGTTTAGTGATGATTCAAATTGTAATGAATTTTTTTGTTGATAATTTCTTAACTTGTAATGTGGTTCTAATAGTACACTATTAGGTTATCTTATAATTTCATAAATTGTCATGCATTTTAAATTTTTACTTTTGGTTCCTTACAATTCATTTGTTAGATACAAAGACTACACAAATGCCACCTGGGCAAGCCACTAAGAGGAGGTCGACGACCTCAATGTCAGAGGCAAACCTGGTTGAGCTCCTAGCTGCATCTCCTGTGGATGCATTTGGAAGTCTATCTCCTGTGGATGCATCTCCATCTTCGCAAACAGTTGATATTGGTAAGTGTTTCATCCTTTGTATAGAACAATTTGTTTTTTGCTCCTGAAACTGTAATCAATGTTGAGTAGTTACTACATGCTTACTCTTTTTTGAGTGATTATGATTAAAAATTTGTTAGTATTGAAGTATGACTCTGTGAGAGACAATCTGTGAGAGATAATGAAAAAAGAGATCTTTGAAGTCACAAACGACACCTAAAAGATAAAGTGAGAGACAATTAGTCAATAAAGAGTGCAAGGCATTTATTGTTTAGTAATCCAGACAGTGTATCTTCAACTGCTTGTCAGCTGGTGTTGTCCTTTTTGTAAATTAACGGAGACAATGAAAAAAGAGATCTTTGAAGTCACAAACGGCACCTAAAAGATAAAGTGAGAGACAATTAGTCAATAAAGAGTGCAAGGCATTTATTGTTTAGTAATCCAGACAGTGTATCTTCAACTGCTTGTCAGCTGGTGCTGTCCTTTTTGTAAATTAATGAAACTCATTTCAACTGTGTGATTGCTACAGATCTGGCTATATCAGTTTGTTTGTTATCTAAATTAAGCTATATTTATCATTCAATGTTTCATTTGGATATCATGGCTAGGACTACTAGAAGAAGAGAAAGAAATAAAGAAAAATGATTGAGTAAACAATCAAAATGATCCACGGTGGGCCCCCATGGGCCCAACAACACTCTTCAATCTGATCTCGGACAGGAGAGAGGCCTAGCCATTAAAAAAAGTAAAAACCATAGCAAACTCTTCACACTTTTATAATAGTAGTAGATAGATAAATTAGGTGAGAAATTATGAGAAATAAATTACTTTTATTTTGAGACTTTCATTTCTCACTTAAAAGTGATGAGATTTAATGAAAATAACCTTATTATATATATATATATATTTAGAACATGAGAAAGAATATATTATTAAAACAACAAGAGTATATAAATAAGACCCCAAAGGGTCATTCCAACCAAACAACAAAAGTAAAATCTGTTATCCTTGGTAAATTATTTGTCCATCTTTTGTGATTTCCTTATTAAATATGAAAGTTGGTGAATCTACTAATAATTAATGTATAGACCCTGAATATTAGAAGAAAATCTGTTATCCTCGGTAAATTATTTGTCCATCTTAGAAAATTAAATTAATTCTAGGAACGTTAATAAATACGTTCACATTATTTGTCAATTGAATGGGCCATATATCAAATTTAAAAAATAAAAATAAAAAAAAAATTGAAAAACTATAACTTCGACCACCCACACTATTGTGAGCAAGAGTCATAAATATGGGCATTTTCAATACTACCCTATGTTGATATGGAACTTGGAATTTGAATTAGTTTATGATTTCATTATCAGTTGACAAGGTTCAAGTTATTTTATCTATTTTTAATTTTTATAGGTAGTTTTCAAAAATAAAACAACTACTACGGTGTTTGGCTTTTGTTTTGTTTTGTTTTTTTTTTATCAAAAAAAAAAAATTCAAAAAATATTAGTGTACAAGTATGGATTGAAAAATTCTTACAAATTAAATTTCAAACAAATAGTCATGCGAATGTGTTGACACTTCTTTTGTCTCAACGGAAAAGACTGTTATTAAGTATAGCGAAAAATGAATAGAAAAAGAATAAGAGAAAGAAATAAAGAAAAATGATTGAGTAAACAATCAAAATGATCTGTGGTGGGCCCTACGAGTCCAACAACACGCTTCATTCTGATCTCAGACTGGAGAGAAGCCTAGCCATTAAAAAAAGTAAAAAACTTTGCAAACTCTTCACGCTTTTATAATAGTAGTGGATAGATAAATTAGGTGAGAAATTATGAGAAATAAATTACTTTTATTTTGAAACTTTGATTTCTCATTTAAAAGTGATTAGATTTAATGAAAATAACCTTATTATATATATATATATATATATTAGGACGTGAGAAACAATATATTAATAAAACAACAAGAGTACATAAATAAGACCCCAAAGGGTCATTCCAACCAAACAACAAAAGTAAAAAAATAACAACAAAAAACAAATCCTCCAAAAAAATAGTTATGATCCAAGAAAAACCACTGATGTGCTCAAAGATGTGGTCAAGAAAATAAGATCGGCTTGAAAGCCCATCGTCCCTGTCAACAACGTCCCCATCACCGCTGCCCAACGCTGCCGCCACTGTCGCCAGAGAAAGAAAAACACCCACAATGGCATGGGAGAAGGGTTTAGAGAGGAGGAAACCATTTATATCACATACTTTACTTTTTTATTCAGCCAAGTATGATAATAAAAAAGTGAAATCATTTATTTTCTTTTCTCAAAGATAAAGATACCACAAACATTTATTTTATTTTCATAAATCTGTCACAAATATATCAAATATTTGTCTGGAATCCAAATATATCAAAGATAGACATGAAAATAGATAACTAGATATATGTAGTTATCTATGAGTATCGAATACATTGTAAAAGCAAAAAAGGTCAGAAACGATTTTTATTCAGATTGTTTCATTTCTCATAACCTTAACCAATCATGGGGAATAGTAGAAACATCATTGTCATTTATTTCAGTGTTTTCCACTTGCTCTTCTTCTTGTGCATGCTTGGAAGAACCCTTCGAATTCAATTCATCAACTCTCTGAGCCACGTTTTTGTTAAGCTCCACCATAGACCTTTTTAACTGTTCAAGCTGTTGCAAGTCAAGCTGATTAACATATGCATCAAACCTACAACTTAGCAAGCCATAGTTTTTGTTACTCATGTTTTGAACAATTTTCTCTTTCTTTTTCTCGACTTTCAATCGCTTGCTCAGCTCATGGAATTGTTGGTTGAGTTGGTGCACAGTGGCATCATCGTGCCGCGAGGCATGGCAGGAGACGCCTTCACTTGGCTGTGCATTTTGGTTCAGAAAGCGGTCTACAACCGAGTCAACATTAGGTTTCCCAAAAGAGAAGGCCTTGCCTCCCATGGAGAAGAGGACAATGGCCATATCTACGCCCCATTTTTTTTTTTTTTTTTGATCAGCAAAAGAAGAACTTTATTGATGAAGATAAGATACAGAATATGGAAAAACATCAATAAAAAAGAGGCACAAGAAAAGCAACAAAGAGAACACTCCAAATCCCAGTTAGGGGCAGAAGGAGCGAGACCCTAACAAGAGCAAGCAGAAGCCAAAGTTGGTGAGAGACCAACAAAGCAAAATGCAGAACAGATGGGAAAACAAACAAGGCACCAAGGTACAAAAACAACAAAAATAGCAAAAACAACAAAATGCAGCTAGGCATCAGGATGCATACACTTTACCATGACAACAGAAACTAGGGCAGAGCAGCAAGCCAAAATTGATGCAAAGCATAGCAAAGTTGAAGCACAGCAGAGAAGGAACCAGAAACCAAACCAGAAACATTGAGCATGGCCACCACGAAGATGTGCTAATACCAGGTATACACCCACTTCCCCTTGCTTCCAACAGCATACCGCCACTTAGAATCAGCCCATGTAGCATCAAACCAATACACCAGCGAACCAGCAATGAGCATGCTTGACAGTAGAAACTAAGGCAGCGAAAAAACCAAAAAATAAGGCAAATCATAGCAAAATTGAAACATAGCAGAGCAAAATTGGCCACCAAGAAGATCTGCTAATACCAGGTATACATCCACTTCCCCTTGCTTTCATCAGCATACCACAGATTGACCAAAATCCTGCACCCTTACAGCAAAACACCAAGGCACTTAGCTCGCTTGCTTTGCTGAAAATCCCATGTTTACGCTTTGAGAAGGTAATCCTTCTTGTGTTTTCATTGGCTATCATTTTCATTTCAATCTTCTTTCGGCCATGGGATTGCTTCCTCTCCACGTTTAAAGAAATAGCAAGAAAATCTTTTTTGAAAAAACTTCTCAGTAAGAAGCATGAGATATATGCAAGTACATGCAAAGGGGGATTATATACTGTTAGTACTGATACTTTTAGATTTATATTCTTTTGGCTCCAGAATCTGCACTTCTCCTTTTGTGATTGCCTTATTAAATATGAAAGTTGGTGAATTTACTAATAATTAATGTATACACCCCAAATAATTGAAGAAAATCTGTTACCTTGGGAAATTATTTGTCCATCGCCTGTGATTGCCTTATTAAATATCAAAGTTGGTGAATCTACTAATAATTAATGTATAGACCCCAAATAATTGAAGAAAATCTGTTACCTTGGGAAATTATTTGTCCATCGCTTGTGATTGCCTTATTAAATATCAAAGTTGGTGAATCTACTAATAATTAATGTATAGACCCCAAATAATTGAAGAAAATCTGTTACCTTGGGAAATTATTTGTCCATCGCTTGTGATTGCCTTATTAAATATCAAAGTTGGTGAATCTACTAATAATTAATGTATAGACCCTGAATATTAGAAGAAAATATGTTATCCTTGGTGAATTATTTGTCCATCTTAGAAAATTAAACTCTTTCAAGGAACATTATTAAATACGTTGTGATATGCTGAGAGGTTTGCTCTTTACGTGTTGATACGGCTGAGAAATTTCCCTCTTCTCTCTACTTGTGTGATATGCTGATAGGTTTTCTCTTCGTGTGATACGTTGAAAGAAATTTCCCTTTCTCTCTGCATGTGATACGCGGAGAAGCTTTACCTTTCCTCTTTTGCGTGTATACGCTGAGAGGTTTACCTTCTTCCTCTACCTATGTGTGATACGCAGAGAGGGATTTGTTGTGTGTAAGACTTGCGCGGTATTTCTCAGTTGAGTTCGCTTTAGCTTTCTCTA